GAGGTAAGGCAATGAAACCTCGCTGCTGTCTCTGATTTGTGAAGCTAAATGAATGTGATTTTGTTAATGGAAAACAGTATATTGGTAGGTATATGTAAAGAGCTGGAAAAGTATTGCCTTGCTCCAATAAAGATGCCACACCTGTGACCACAACTGCGATTGGTATCATCATCTGATTAACTTTACGCTAGCCACAGCCTTCCTTTAAGACCTGATTAGGATTGACACCAGCCTGAGGCACAGCTAAATGGGAATATGGTGGGAATCATTACCTCTCCAGTATTTGGTGGCATCTGTTCCCTCATGCATGCTATATTATTTTGGTTTATTCTTTCTGTGAGAGGAAGAGATTGAAGTAGTCTCAAGGGCTTTTTCCTCACACATGGGTCACAAAATGTATAGCAATACTGTCAGTAAAAAAAAAAAAGTATACATTTCCCACTTTATTTTCTTGGATTGGGGAAATAAACATAAGTCGATGGTCATCATGCACCCATTACTGAATGTATTTAAACCAAGAACTGATCTATCCACTAGATATCACACACCCCTACTCTGTCCAGCAGGCCATAGGATGTTTTGAATCTCGGGAGATCAGAGTCATTTCAAAGCCAGTAACTAAGAACACTTACAAGGTCTGGGTATTTACCGTTCCCCAGGGCACTGTCCCCTGGTAAAATATACTGAAGGTGGCCTGTAGGAACATTCACCAGAAACATCTAAAAGTGTGCTGAAGCCAACCTCTCCCTCCATACAGAAGCTCTGGGTCTGTGAAGTGGCTTAAGTCTGAGAATTCTGCATAGATTATGATTTCCCACTACAACACCCAGAGGCAGAGACTGGGACCATGAAGCCAAAGAAGCAGGCAATGGTGAGAGCCATCAGAAGCTGTTAGACACAAGGGAAGGATCTAAGGAGCGGGGAAACATAGCTCTGCCAACACCTTGATTTCAGACTGCTGGCCCCTAAACCTGTGAGAAAATACATTTCTGTTATTTTAAGCTAAGTTCATCACAACTTGTTATAGTGACCCTAGGAAACGAATACAGTAGCTCATTTTCTTCCTATAGATCTGATCATCAATATTATAAATTATCATTGTGATAAATTCCTAGAGGATCAAACCACTCTTGGGCATTTCTTTTTGGTTTTAGGGTGGTAAGAGCACTAAAATCTACCTTCTTAACATTTTTTAGTGCACAATAAATACAGCATTGTTGTCTGCAGACACATATCTGCACAGCATATCTCTGGAACTTATTCATCTTGCATAAATGAAATTTTATACCCATTGATTAGCACCTTCAGTTTCCCCCTTCCCCACCAGCGGGCAGCACCCACACTTCTGTTTTTTGCCTCTTTAATTATTTCAGATACCTCATATAAATGGACCCTTCAGTCTTTGTCTTGTCTGGTTGACTAATTTCACTTAGCATAATGTCCTCAAGGTTCATTCATACTATCAACTATTGCAAGATTTCTTTTTCTAAGGCTGAATAGTATTTCACTGTATATATGTACAACTTTTTAAAATGTGTTCATTCATTGATAAACATTCACATTGTTTCCTTATTTTGGCTTGTAAATGATGTTACAGTGAACGTGAGAGTGAGTGTCAAAATTTCTTTAAAATCTGAATTTCAATTTTTTTTATAAATACCCAGAAATTGGACTGTTGGATCATATGGTAATTCTACTTTCAATTTTTGAAGAAACTTCCCAATGTTTTCCATTGCAACTGCATCATTTTGCATTCCCACAAGTAGGGTGCAAGGGTTCCAATTTCTGTAAAACCATCACTGATATTTGTTGTATTTTAAATTTTTTGTCCCTAGGACACTTCTTATAACTCAACTTACTTCTTCTCTTACAGTTAAGCTTCACCCCCAAACCCTCAACTTCCCTATCACATTATTCCCACTAAATCAGATTATCAAATTCAAATTTCAGCACTCCTATTGTCATCTTAAGACTACAGGGACCGGCCATCACAGAGATTTTCAATGACGCTGGTAATCCACTCACCAAGGCATTTCTTGAACTTCATGCCTCAATAAGATATTTCTAGAAAGTGGGAAGGTTTCACATGAAAGATCCACACTCCAACCATGCATCATTTTCCTGAGCTTTTATGTTTTACAGGGAATTTCTAGCATCTCAAGCTCATTAGATTAGGCCACTTTTGACACTCTAGGCTACTTACTGTAGCCTAGGCTCAGACTGCTCACATATCTGAGGAATATATGGACAACATCCTTGTTGGGGTGTGGTATAATAAAATATGTAGCATGTGGTAGTTCCATGGTTACCTAAATTACCACCAGCAGTGGCACAGTATGGGGTGCAGATGGAGAATAAAGCACAAGGAGATCAAATACTTCAAGCACATAGTCACTTTGATGACAAAGACTGTGGCAAGGAATGAGTCTTTCTTACCTTAAAGGAGACTCAAAAAGAAAAGGATAAGTTGAAAGTTTTGAATGGTCATTTTAAGGCCCTGATTTTAAAAAAAAATCAGAATGTCTTTGCAATAACTACAAAGAAATTCCTTATTTTCTGTATATGTAGGGCAGATGTGACTGACGATTAAGTCGAGAGACTGACTGTAAGGTTTGCAGAACTGTTCTGTCAATTAAATCTGCACTCCTAACAGATCTCATTCTACATTAAGGATACTGATGAGGAAGATCAAAGTGTGGTCTCATATGAATTAGCTGTACACTGAAGAGCTCTAACATCTTGGCATTTCTTATCAAGAGTCAGGAAAGTAAGTGTAAGAGTGTATCCCCAAGGGTATTAGACTAAAAATAATAAAGTAAGAGATTATGTCGAGCCAAATATATGTTCCTACCTAGAATTCAGAACTTAACATATAGGCTTGAGGCCCAGAAAATTGCTGGATATGTAGACTAGCCCTCAAACACTGGATCTCCTTCTTTGTGCTCTGTTCTCCATCTGCACCCCATGCTGTGCCACCACCGATGATAATTTGAGTAACCATGTTGCTGACACATGCTGCGTTATTACCGTTATCCACCACCAGCAAGGAGGACGCCCATATGTTCCTCAAATGTGTGAGCAATCCAAGCTGAGGATTCCATTTTAAGGTTGGTCTCCTGGGATCAATTTCTGCTTTAGTCAGTGTACCAATTGGTACACTCAGGCTATTTAGTTTGAGAAGCACGTTAATAACAAGGCTGTTTACAAAGGAGAAGACATTATTTAAGGAAACCAGCAAGAAAAAGTAAACTAGCTACAAAAAGAAAGACACTCACTTGTGAACTAAAGGAGAAAAGGGAAAGAATGATTTCCAGATTCCAAAGTTGAAGTGAGGAAGGGATGATCACCCAACTGGAGCCATGGGCTTGGGCAGAGAAAAGCAGCCACCAATGACAGATCAAGAAACAGATGGGGAATAAATACCCACCCTCTGTCTTTCTCTCAGGCCTCAAATCATCTTTTCAGCCCTGTCAATTTTACTCCAGACTTCTGTTCCTAGGTTGCTATTGGCAGCTTCACCAGTGGGTCAGTAGGGGAATTCCTAAATTCTTTATTTACTCCTATCTATCCCCCCTTGCTACCTTCCCAGCTCTTACTTCTCAGAGCTGTCAAATTCTCACTATCTTGTGGGAAAATCTGGTTACTTATGTTCCAGTGTAAACTTGCATATGTCTGTGTTAAATTGTTGTCATTTTATCAGAGATCAAAATTTCCCCAATCTATTATGGCATTTGCTGGTAAAGGGACGGAGCAGGAGAATATCATGCTAAGCAAAATTAGCCAATCCCAAAGAACCAAAGGCTGAATGTTTTCTCTGATATGCAGCTGCTAATTCACAATGGAGAGGGGGGTTAGTGAAAATAGAGGTACTTTGGATTAGACAGAGGGAAATGGAGGGAGGGGAGAGGGATTAGAGTAGGAAGGATAACAGAATGAATCATACATTATTACCCTATGTGTGCATATGATGACATGACCAGTGTAATTCTACCTCATATACAACTAGAAGATGAGAAGTTATACTCCATTTATGTATGATGTGTCAAAATGCATCCATGTATAATTAATTAGAACAAATTTTTTTAAATGTCCCCAATCTAGTCCCCTCTGTAATATGTTGTTTACAAAGTTCCCAGAATGTCTGGATTGTGTACAAAAATGACAAGTGTTATATCACTTTCCTCTCAGATGTTCAGTTCCTTAACAATGGTAATGCAAGGAGCTTTTGCTAAGAAAAAGTGTAGACATCCTAGAAAATGTGTTGTGAAAATGTTATCAAATATGCATACAGAATGAAATTCTTGATCACTTAAAAGAACAGCTTCATTAATTGCTGATTAGAATTGGGAGGAAATTTTACATTTTTCTATAATTGTGAGTGAAATGCTGCTGTTTGAATTATAGACCTTCATTTTTAGTTCCCTCTCTGTGTTGATAGTTTCTCTCCATCCTCCAGATCTACTCCAACCCTTTATCCACCTTGCTCTTTGTCCTGAAGCCATATGACTTCTGACCACTCCTCTTCCAGCTTTCCCCTTGGGTTCTGCTTATGGAAAACCCAAGCACACTGGAGGAAGGGAAATGTGAAATGGGATGGTTTTTTTTTTTTTTTTTTTTTTTTTTGCTTTCTCCATGAGATCACCCAAAGCTGGCAGTGCCATGGATAGCCTGTCACTGGTCCTCTCCAAAGCCTTCTTTGCACTCTTTTCTTTCTGAGTTCCCAGGTTTCCCCCGCTGGGGTTCCTTTGAGAGAAGAGGTAGATTCTGCACACCTCAAACTGGACCTGGGTTCTGACACTATTTCCCTATACTCCACCCACATTTTATAATAGGTCCTCTTCTGAAGTGATGGTATTTTAAATGTGCCATCTCTTTCTTGTTAAGACTGATCTACAACTGTGCATATACCACTGAGTCCTGACAAACATGTGGTCCAGGTCATTCTTCTGGGCTGTTGTGTCTGACTTGATGGTATCTATTCTCGCCAAAGAGTTTCTCCATTGCCCCATGGGGAGTTATTTTTCTCATAAAATAGTAGCTCCACTATTTGCCTTGTTTACAAAATTAAATGCAGGTTCTTGTGTCTGTGTTTACAAATAGTTTTAGTTTTCTTTACTGGGATTTTAAGAAAGAAGATAAAAGTAGATATTAAAAGACAAAGATAGAATTCCCTTATTGAAATACAGTCTTTCATCCTACTTATAGAGTTTCAAGAAAGAGAATTCTCTGACTACTCTCCTATAATTATATTTTGTCTTAAATAGATTATTTGCATTAAATGTCAGGCCTTGTTTTTGTTTGGATGTTGTATTTTAACTATAAAGCATTTACATTTTTTTTAAATTTAGCGTGAAAAAAATTTAAAACTAAAGGTTCTCTTTAAACTATACATTTCAGTAACGAAATCACAGTTCAGTTTAAAACTTTAAATGCCTAACAAAGAAACATTTATAGAGATGTTTTCTCTTCACACAATTTATCATACTATGAAAAACAAAATATGATTAAAATTAATAAAAAGATAAAATTCCATTTCCATATCATGCAACTACTGTATTACTCTCTTAGCAGTGGATGAAAAGGTTTGTCATCAAACAAGTATTTCTGGATCCTCTAAGAATGAGGCCCATTGACTTTTATAATTTTAGGTGATGTATCAGTATAATATTTTTTTCTGATCTCATTAAATTCTCCACGATCAAGTATATAGGAAGCCAATGCTGGAATCTGAGAAAAGTAGTTCTTAGCCAGTATATGTTTGTGTTTGATCTTGTGGATAAATACTTGTCCATATTCCTGAAAGGAAAAGAAAATTAAATTCTATTAAAAGTCACCACAGATATATGTCATCAGGCAAAAACGCTGTGTCTCAGCGTCTTTATTTAAAAGTTCATTATCCACAGAATACAGGTTTGTTGTCTGTTTTCTCTTACTTTGTGTTATCTTTCAGGGCTCAGTCTATGATGTTTCAAACTAGAAGCCTTCCCTGAGTCTTCTCCTGGCCTCTCAAGTCCAAACCACTGCAAGTTACCTATTCAATATTCATTCTCTTTCCCATTTATAGGTACAGGCTTAGTTTTATATAGGGTTAGATGTTCCCAACTTTCTGGTCTTTATTCAAGCTAGGAATTGCCATGTAACAAGTAACAAATTTATATTTACACACACACACACACACACACACACACACAGTTTAGCTACAGAAAAGTTTTTTGAAGAGATTTTTAAGAATGGGAAGACACACGTATTAAGCATATTTAGTCCCTGACCATACTTGGGGTCAGATGTAATGTAATTTATGCCAATTTATGACTTAAGAATCCACAAGCATGAGAATGAAAACCAAAGGTTGAAGCTGGCTGAAGGAAATCAGAAGGCCTGAGTTTCCAAGAGCCCTGTGGAGCTACCACACTGGCCTGGGACTGCCAACCTCTGACCTTGCTACATAAAGGAAACTAGACTCACATTTTGACAAGTCATGATAAATGGCTCATTCTCATGTTGGGGTTAAGCCTGAAAGCATCCAAAACAATGATGAATCACATTCATTATATTTCTGCATTTTTCTCTAAGCACCTTGCATGATATTTAATACATTCAAAAGTAAATCCTGGTGGGCTGGCATTGTAGCTCAGTGGTGGAGCTCTTGCCTAGCACGTGTAAGGCATTGGGTTCGATCCTCAGCGCCACATATAAATATAATAAAGATACTGTGTCCATCTACAACTAAAATTTTTTTTAAAGGTAAATTCTGATTAAATTAATAAACTTCATCTATTCTCTTTATTACTCTTATTCTCTTTTCAACCAATCACCTGTACATTAGTTTCTGAGAGTAAGAAATTCTCCCACTAAAAATCTCTTTACAGGGTCAAATCTAAGGTAAAGTCAGCCCTGGGGAAAAGGGGCCAATTGATTTGGTATTCATTTTTCTTAATTGGTTCTTTTTAGTTATACATGACAATAGAATATACAATGGCTAGTATTTTTACAGAAAGGTTTATACAGAAATATCCTAGCTTTTTTTAAAGTTTCCTCTTTACAGAAAAATTTAGTAGATAAATACTTGTCCTTGGCACTAATCTAATTTTGTTCCAACGTTTGTCCGTATTTCATCCAAGGAAAACTAAAACATTTCTGTATTGCTAGGTTAATGTATACGTGTATAAAATCTTGCAGATTCCAAAGTATCCTTACAAATCTAAAAATTAAAAAAGATGAGCCAAGTATATTAGGGTAGATGCATTCAAGGAAATATTAAGTTAGTCTTTGAAAATAATATAATATGGAAAGTAGCACACTATCTATTGTTAAGCCAACCCAAAAAAATCAAGTTACACAGCAATTTTTACATTAAATAAATGAAACTATATATACATACTTTAAGTTAAAAGTACGTGTAAATATATGTGTATATATACATATATGTAGGCATATATATGTGCACACAAATATACTTGCACATAGACACTTCTAGAAAGATTTCATTAAATTGTAGATAAGAAATATAAGTTTTCTATGGAATGTGCATATAGGGATGGGTGGATATCAGGAGGCTTTTATTCTTTATATTATTTTAACCTGTTCATATACTTAAACCAATAATGCATTGTCCTTCTTACAATTAAAAATAAAATGCACCAAAAAATTTTAAAATACTGTCATTTTACATACATAGTTACTACCCAAGTTGATTCATGCACAACACTAAGCTGAGAGCTTTAAACAGTAGGCTATTCAATTCTTTCCTGTGATGAGATAACATTATCTCCTTTTTATAGATGAGAAAACTGGGGCATCAAGACATTAGCAACCTTCCCCAAACCTAACTCATAAAGGAGAATGCCAGAATTCAAAGACAGGGCTGCTTTCGTTCCTTTTACAGATTCCACATTTTTAGCTAATCTAAAAATTCATGAAGCAAAGAGGGCAGGTTGTTAGTGGAAAAGCTAGGGAAGAACTGGGTCAGGACTGCTGATTTTTAGTCCACAATTGTTCCTACTCTGGCCAATGTGCACACTTTGAGAGATCCATCTGCCTTCCTTAGGCTCACAGAACAGAAGTCTTTCTCCATGCCTTTCCTATAACTTGTGAGATTTGCAGGGAGTCAAGATTATTTTGAATTTTAAGTTTTTGACTTCCCGAGAAAGCATTTATCTCTGTGCACCAAGGAAATTCTGGAAATCCTTTAACTTGTTATAAAACATACAATATTCTTATCTAGACCAAATATTACTACTTAAAAGATTATATCAGCCCAAACCATAAAAAAGGCAAACATTTTTAAGTTTGGCTGAAGACCTTCACTTTGCTTCCAGAAATTCAGAAAGATTGGCACCCTGAAATTAAAAATGCTTGTGAATAGGACATTTAATTTGATACTGCAATAATTTCATTAAATACACAAAGGGAGTTGTGTGGATTAATTGAAGAAGCACTGGAATATCAGCTCTGGGAATGAACTTCAATCTTATTTTGGGTTCTAGATGAAATGATATTGCTAGTATTGGCTATGCTTCCAGTGATTAAATATTTATAAGGCAGCTTAGTTTACTAAATATAACATTTAACACAGCCTCAATTTCTTGCTGCCCTTTCTTTCAATCCCTAGAGTAAAATTTTTCTTAGCCTGAATACTTAAGACTCTGAAAATTATTGGAAAAAAAAAGTTAAAACATTTAACTAGTTTCTCCTTTTATACTAGACAAGTAACCCTACCCCACTCTAAAAACAAACAGGCAGGGAATAACACTATTCTAAATAATTATTTGACATCATTTCTTTATTTTCCTTTAGCTGACATCATGCCTGGAATTGAAGGTGCAGCAGTGTAACCAACTGAAGGCAGATAATCAGTATCAGCCTTGAGATGCTGGGCTTGGGTAGTGTAAATGGAGCTCTGTAGGAACTCTTCAGGGGGCCCTCAATTTTGTTCATCAAAATGTTTTACAAATTGCATCTTGTAAGTTATTGAAACTAAATGGTTTTTAATATTGGCAGTGCTTTCTCCAATCCAAGTTAGAAGCAAAGCAAAAAAAAAAAAAAAAAAAAAAAAAAGCCCCATCAGTACTAAAGTACAAAATTATGAACAAAATACATTCGTCAATTGAGTGTACTTTTAGGCAACCTTGTGATAATTATTAATCAATCAAAGGACAGATGCTGAGTTTCATAATACCTTTGTGGTAGTAATATCTACTTAGTTTTTCAATAAATACTTATTAAAATTCCTAGCCAGTGACAGGCACAATTATGGGTATTAGAGTATAGATGCAAATAAATGAAACAAAATCTTTACCCTCATGGAAATAATTGTGGAATTAATGGGCTTGAACTTGCTGTTAGAAGGTAGTGGCATGATGTTTAGGTATTTTTTCATTCAAATCACTTATCTTTGCCTGTTATATGTTATAGCTTCCCTTTGTAATCTAAAAAAATATATTTTTATTTTTACATTATCATTACACACAATAGTGGAATTCTTTTCTACATATTTGTACATGCACACAATTGAATATAATCTTAGTTATTTTAACCTCTGCCTTCCATATCATCCACATGTTTTGTTGCTGTTAATCTATAAATTCTGTTTCTTAATCCAATGGGGAAGTATTTAAATCAATCATGGAATGCATATAAAGGCAATCAAGTTACCCATGATAATTCCAATGAATAAATTAACTCCCCAAATAAAGCACAAATTCTTACCTCTTCAATATTTGTCAGCTTAAGATGAGCAACTGCTTCATCTTTGGTGAGAAGAATGCAGTTCCAGGGAGACCACTCTAGGTTTTTATCCCATCTGACCAGCACCAGATCATTGATATCGTCCCAGGCGCTGAGAACCGACTGTGAGGCCCAGATGTTTTCCATCAAGTACTGAATATCCTGTAGCTGCATGTCAAAATAAGTTTGAAAGGCAGTTTTGTTTTCTTCTAAATAAAGAGTTTTAAAGATCTAATTAAATTATGTTCAGTTTATTTTTTAATGCAAATATCATTCATAAGGTGTCAGAGGCATACACCTCCTTATATTTTGCCTAAACTATATTACTAGTCTCAATTCATGACCCTAACCTGGAGTAAGCTGTATATTTCTTCCAGTATGCTAATTTTGCCTTAATATAATCACTATAATGCCTTAATATTGCCTTAGTAAGCATATGATGTTCAATTCTTTCAAAAATTTGTTATAAATTATCATCTTATCCTCAGGGCCATGGTAGGGCTCTCGTAAGAATTTTTACTGCCATTTTACAAATGAGAAAGCTGATATTTAATACAGATGAAATAATTTCTTAGTGTTAGTTTAAAATATTTTGTTGTTTTAATGAAAAAAGAGGGAAAGGTGGTGAAACAAAATAGTGCTTAAAAGTTTTTTAAAATTTTAAATCATATTAGCTAAAATTCTTGGAATAACTTTTTATCATGAGGTTGCATCTAATTGTCAGGGAGATACAAGCTTTACGAAATACAAGCACTGCAAAAATAACCATTATTTTTAAATTTATGTGGAAAAGCAGGAATCTTTTCTGTAAGATCAGCAGATAAAACCTAAACAAATTTATCAAAGTTAAAAAAA